ATAATTATTTATATAATATATTTTTACATGATTTTCATTATATTATAATCTATTTAAATTTAAAAGTCAATTAAGTTTCATAGTTTTTGTATTTATAAATTTAATATTAAGTTTAATTAGTTAAAAAATTAGATAAAAAAATTTGTTACAAAATTTAGAAATAATATTATTTTAAAATAGTTAAATTAAAATAAATATTTAATAAGTAAATGATTAAAATAAATTAAAAAAAAAGATAGAAGAATATAATTTAGTTAAAAAAATGAAAGAGGATCATCTTAGATGAAAGAAATATATAGTATAGGAAATAAAATATTTAAAGAATAATGATTAAAAAAGAGAAATAAAAGGATTTTATTTAGCGTGGAAATCGGAAACACATAATAGTGTTACTGGTAATAGGTACTCGGGTCATTCTCGTTCGTAAGCACACGGTGTTTCTTTCGGGGATCAGTGACGTGTACGGTCAAGATTCAAAACCAATCAAACTTAGATTCTCCTTCGTATCGTATCCCTATAAAACCCCCTCTCCCTTCCTCGTTTTCCCATTCTTCCGCCACCCTAGCGTATCGTTTCTTCTTTTAATTTTTTCGTCATTATTATTAAAACAATTTTCACTATTACTGTTATTTTTTTCTCTCTTTCGAAAAACCCGATTGCTTCATCGTCGGATCTGAAAAAAGCCCTCAGCGATTTCGATCTCGCGCAACAGATCCGACACCGTCAAACTTCGGATTCAGTTTTAACACTGTTGTTGCGCCCTAAATCTCACGATATTTCGAAGGACCCAAATTGGAACCCTAATTTTAATCACTTCACCCTAAAACTTTTCCGCTGTTTCGATCGCGATTCCGCTCGTTTGTTTGTTTGTCGTTTTGCTCTGCTTTCTATGGTTTTTGGATCGTTATTTGATTGTGAGAATTTGAAAGGATTGGAAAAGATGGGAAAGGAGGTTGAGGATGTGGAAGAGGGTGAGATTTCGGATACTGCTTCGGTGGAAGAGATTACGGAGGAGGATTTCAATAAGCAAGATGTTAAGGTGAATAATAACAACAATAAGCCCAATGGAAGTGATGCTAGGGTTTGGGCTGTTCACGATCTTTACTCAAAGTACCCTACTATATGTCGCGGTTATGCTTCGGGTTTGTATAACCTCGCTTGGGCACAAGCCGTGCAGAACAAGCCTTTGAATGATATTTTTGTGATGGAACTAGATTCTGATGGTAATGCTAATAGTAACAGCAACAACTCCAATCGACCGAGTTCTGGTTCTGTGAATTCGAAGGAGGTGGTGATGGTGGATGTGGATAAAGAAGAAGGGGAGTTGGAGGAGGGTGAGATTGATGCCGACGCTGACCCCGAAGCAGAAGGAGAAACTGTTGTTGTGTCTGCTTCTGAGACCGTTGCTGATTCTGAGCAGCTTGGTTTGAGGGATGTTCTGGAGGGTGTTACCGTTGCTAATGTGGCGGAGTAAGTGGCAATGTTCACGGGTTTTGTTGTTTTTCTCTGAATTGCTCGCATTGGAGTTACATTACAAGTTTGCAACATTGAATTTAATTTTTTGGATTTTGGTGTAGGTCGTTTCCTCAAGCTTGCTACAGGCTGCAGAATGCCCTTCCTCAGGTGTCCTCTAGACCTGCTGATCCTGAGAAGGATGGTCTTGTTCGATTGTCGTTTAATGCAATTGAAGTGGTTTATTCTGTAAGACTCTCGGCAGCTTCAGTTTATATCATTTCTGTTTCTGCTGGAAAATCTATGACGATTGTTTATTGATTTGTTGTAGGTGTTCTGCTCTATGGAAACATCGGAGAAGGAACAAAACAAGGATAACATACTAAGGTTTATCAGAATTTGAGTTTTTAGGTCGTTGTACTTGTGAATTCTTCAAGTCGCAATACCTTCGATGACTAATATATGTTTTCTTGGCTACAATTTTCATGTCAGATTACTTTCTTTTGTGAAGGATCAACAACAGGCTCAATTGTTTTCTCCAGAGCATATCAAAGAGGTGATGTTTAATGTAACTGGATTTAGGAAGTGGTTCTGCAGTCCTTCTCATAATCTTCAATTTATAAACTCAGATGGAATAGAGTCTGAAATGTGGTTCTTTGTTCCTACAGATTCAGGGCATGATGATTGCAATTGATTCTGTTGGTGCTTTAAGCAATAGAGGGGCTATTGGCAAGGAGAAAGAATTGGAGACCCACGATATAAAGATGGAAGATCCATCTGTAGAAGTTGCTGAATTGATTTCTTCTAGTAAGCATTTGCATACTGACACAATTGGGGCATTACAAGTTTCAAAATTTGGACAGAATAGTATCAAGGGTAGAGGGATTCTGCTCCCTCTGTTAGACCTTCACAAGGATCATGATGCAGATAGTTTACCATCACCAACCCGAGAAGCACCGTCCTGCTTCCCTGTTAATAAATTACTTTCTACAGGAGAATCTTTGGTTATTAAATCTGGGTCACCTACTCCCATTACGGTGGCTGAGAAGATGGAACTTGGCAGTGAAGATTCTAAACTTCATCACTATGAAACTGACGCTTTTAAAGCTGTTTCCACATATCAGCAGAAGTTTGGTCGAAGTTCTCTTTTTACAAATGATAAACTTCCAAGTCCAACTCCTTCAGGTGATTGTGAGGATGAGGTTGTTGATACAAACGAGGAAATCTCTAGTGCATCTACCAGTGGTTTTTTAACAAGCACCAAACCAATCCTTTTGGATCATCAGGCTGTTTCTGCTACTTCCATGGATAGGTCCGGCCTGCAAGGATTGATTAGTTCTAGAGTTGACACAGCAGGTCATGGGTCTTACCCAGTGAAAAGCTCTTCGAAGAGTAGAGATCCTAGGCTTCGTTTCATTAATTCTGATGCAACTGCCGTGGATAACCAATCTACAATCATACCTAATATGCCTAAAGTGGAATATGCTGGAGCGATAATCTCAAGGAAGCAAAAGGCTGCTGAAGAGCCTTCTTTGGATGTTACTGTATCAAAAAGACAAAAAAGTTCATTGGAAAATGCTGAACATAATATGAGCGAAGTGAGAACTGCAGCTGGAAGTGGTGGTTGGTTGGAAGAGATTACTGGGCCTGGAGCTCAGTTGATAGAGAGAAATCATTTAATGGACAAATTTGGACCTGAACCCAGAAAGACTTTGAATACAGTCAGTAGTTCCTGTGATGGTTCTGCTAATTTCAATGCAACAAGCATTAGAAATGAGCAGGCACCAGTTACAAGTAATAATGTGACAGCTTCCTTACCTGCTCTTTTGAAAGATATAGCTGTAAATCCAACCATGTTGCTAAACATACTTAGAGAGCAACAACTGAGATTAGCTGAAGCCAAAAAGAAATCTGCCGATTCTGCTACAAATGTGCTGCATCTAACAAGCTTGAATTCGACAATGGGAACAGATTCAACTGTGAGTATTGGTTCATCAATGACCACTGGTGTTCTTCATAGTTCTGTCGGAATGCATCCGGTTTCATCACAATCAACTTCCACGGTAAAATGCTTTTGAGATTGTTTGTCTCAAGTATACACTACTGAAGTCAATTTTTGAATATTCACTTGCGGCTATGGTGTTATCTAATTAACTATTTTTTCTTCCTCTTGCACCTAAAAATTAAATTGAAATTGAAATTAAAGTTTTAAACATATTGATCGGTCCTTTATTCTGCATGAACTTAGACTAAAATATTGATTGTGGAATTTGGAACTCAATTTAGTGTCATGAAAAATCCTGCAAGCTAACTGTAGTTACATTTTTTGAACGTGGTTGACACAAACAGGCACACAGCCTACAAGATGATTCAGGAAAGATTCGCATGAAACCCCGTGATCCACGGCGCATTCTCCACAGTAATAATGCCACTCAGAAGAGTGGTTGCTTGGGGAACGAGCAATTCAAAGTCACAGTATCCCCTGCTTCAAACAACCAGGGAACTGGTGACAACATCAAAGTCCCGAAGCTTGAGGGTAGGGTGGACACAAAATTGGTGACTAGTCAATCAAGTGCAGCACCTGATATTGCTCGACAGTTCACCAAGAATCTGAAAAACATTGCTGATATTATGTCTGTTTCCCAAGAATCATCAAATCATTCTCCTGCTGCTCAAAATTTTTCTTCTGCATCTGTTCCCCTTACTTTAGATAGAGGGGAACAGAAACCTGTTGTGTCAAACTCTCAGAACCTGCAGGCTGGTGTAGGATCAGCTAATGAAACTGGTGCATCAGGTGCCTCTCGATCCCAGAGTACATGGGGGGATGTTGAACATCTTTTCGATGGTTATGATGAGCAGCAGAAGGCTGCTATACAGAGAGAGAGGGCGAGGAGGATTGATGAACAGAATAAAATGTTTGCTGCTCGGAAATTGTGCCTTGTATTGGACCTAGATCACACATTACTTAATTCTGCTAAGGTAATTTGCATGGAATGGGTTCTGCTTTAGATATAAGTGTGTTATTGCATGTTATTAACATTTTCTTTCAGTTTGTGGAAGTTGATCCTGTGCATGAGGAGATATTGAGAAAGAAAGAAGAACAGGACCGTGAGAAGCCTCACAGACATCTTTTTCGCTTTCCTCATATGGGAATGTGGACTAAACTCAGACCAGGAATCTGGAACTTTTTGGAGAAGGTAATTTTATGAATTCTACAATATGCTTTTGGCATGACATCATACAATGGCTTAATTTTGAATTGAAGTATTTACATCTTCCTAAATGCTTTATAGGCTAGTAAGCTTTATGAGCTGCATCTTTACACTATGGGAAACAAGCTATATGCGACAGAAATGGCAAAGGTGCTTGATCCAAAGGGGGTTTTGTTTGCTGGTAGAGTTATTTCTAGAGGCGATGATACTGATTCAGGTGATGGTGATGAGAGGGTTCCCAAAAGCAAAGATTTAGAAGGCGTTTTGGGTATGGAATCATCTGTTGTAATTATAGATGATTCTGTGAGGGTCTGGCCTCATAACAAATTGAACCTGATAGTGGTGGAAAGGTCTGTGTAACATGGGTTTCAACCTCATGCAATTATTTCCTACTGTTATATATATAGCAGATGTTCCATTCCTATATTAAATTTTAAGATATGTGCAGGTATACATACTTCCCCTGTAGTAGACGTCAGTTTGGACTTCTTGGTCCTTCCCTTCTCGAGATTGATCATGATGAGAGACCCGAAGCTGGAACTCTGGCATCCTCTTTGGCGGTGAGTTTTTATTTATTGGTTTTTTTGTTAACTTGGGATGGCTTGTTATTCTTCAGTTGATAATTTCCTTTCTTCCTCATTAGGTTATTGAGAGAATACACCAAAATTTTTTCGCTTCTCAATCCTTAGAAGACGTGGATGTCAGAAATATACTAGCATCAGAGCAGAGAAAAATCTTAGCTGGTTGTCGTATAGTATTTAGTAGGGTGTTTCCAACAAGTTTACAAAATCCTCACCTTCACCCGTTGTGGCAGACAGCTGAACAGTTCGGTGCTGTTTGCACCGCCAATATTGATGACCAGGTTACTCATGTAGTTGCACATTGCCTTGGGACTGATAAGGTATAGTATTGCCAAACTCTCAGCGCATTATGTTAGTCTCTGTCTGTGCGCATGCATTATTTTGTTTAATTGTTGTATTAAGCATGTAAATAAAAATTAAGGGGCTGTTTGGTTTTAGAAAACATTTTCTATTTTTTTTCTAATATTATTTTATGAAAATAATTTTCATTTATAAATTTTGAAATTTAGAAAATATGTTTGGTTTAATTTTTCAGTTTCTAATTTAAGAAAATGAATAATATTGAAAATTTGTATGGTAAATAAATTTTTAATATATATTCTCAATAATATTGAAATTATTGTATTATTTATATGTTTATTTAAATAAATAAAGATGAATGTAACTAGCATTGCATCTTAAGCATCACAACCAAAACAAAACAAAATAAATATAATTTATACTTGTCATAAAAATAACAATCATAACAGCAATTGAAGCAGCAGATTATGATAAGTAAATAGAAGCTGCAGAATTAAAAAGAAAATTAAATCACAACCCTGTTATTTATAACAAAATACTCAATTTCCCATACATATAATCAAAACTAAGAATCATTCAAAGACAAATTACATATTTAGAAACATATGTAAGATAATTAATTAATACACACGCCATAATACTTTTCCCGATCCCTTATGAGGCATTTGACAGAAAACTGATTCCACTGCCTTGTTGGGATCTGCTACAGTATGTGACTTTAACACTCGCTAACAAGGAATGGTTTTTCACCTTCACGATAAAAAAAAAATGAATGTGTAAACAAATTGGAGAAAAAGAAGTGAGTTACGGAAGGAAGAGAATACAATTTGAGGATATTTAGGTTGAGCGATTCAGAAGAAATCTCATCCTCCAAAAAACTTGCATTTATAGAGAAGTGCATGCTCAGAGATTGTGGAGGGATTTCGTGAGAAACAATCATCAAAATAAGAAGGAAGTTGCTTGTAACAGCAACCCCTGGGACCATGAGACCGCATGCACTACTCAGTCCGAAGAAGAAAAAAAAAAGTTGACGTCATTGTAATTACACAATATGCCACCACATTTTTGTTGTGCAGTTTTCATTTTCTTTGAAAACAATGGAAATTTTAGTTTTTATTTTCAATATTGGATCCAGTTTGAAAACGTTTTTAAAAAAATTTTCTAAAATCAAATTAAACATATTTTGACCAAAATTTTTATTTTTGTTGAAAATGAAAATAGAAAACAGACATGCCAAACAACCCCTACATTCCTGCAATGATACAGTTCTCCATATTAAGGAGTAACACCAGATGGGATATAAAAGTTAACCATTGATGAATTTGAGTGCAAATCAAGTTGTTCTTGGTTTAATTTAATTCAAGTTTAATCCAGGTGATTCATCCGGCTGTGCCCCCCACCTTTTCCAATTTGCTCATAACATGGAAACCTAAACTCTTAACAGTTCATGGCATGTTTACACACATCAATTAATAGAAGACCATTTTACTTTCATCAATTAGAAGGGTTTTTTCTGCAACTACTATTCTCACCAGGACTAACATCCTGTAAAATATTCATTATTATGGTAGTTGGGGCAGACTGTTCTTGTCAATTGAATTTGAATCTTGATAAGTGCTACCTTTTCTTGAGCAGGTAAATTGGGCTCTTTCCACAGGAAGATTTGTTGTCCATCCTGGCTGGTGAGTTTCTCGTAATTGACATTTATGTTTGTCCTTCTGTCTTTTTTTCTTCTTGAATTTGACTTGTGCTGCTTCTCTTCCCCTCCAATGTAAAAAAACAGGGTGGAAGCATCAGCATTGCTTTATAGGAGGGCGAATGAGCAAGATTTTGCCATTAAACCATAAAAAACTGACCTAAATCTCTTCCATAAACTAAAATATGTGAAAACATAATCAAGAATCACATTGATTTTGGGGGTGTGAAATCATTAGATCGAAACGGGTCAGCTGAGTATAGTTTTAATTCATGATGATTCTGTCCATTGGAGATGGTGATTGGTGGGTGTATGTAATTTTACTAAGATGACTGGCCAGTTGTTGAGGAGTTGAATGGAGGACAATATGAGTGCCCTTTGGACAAGGGTTCGATGCTGCAGGGCCTGACAGAATTGGTTGATTGCTTTAGGGACTAGGTGAGTGATATTGTGGGGGTGGCTTTTGTGAGTTGCTCCCAGTAAATTTTGCCTGACATGGTTTTGAGAGTGATATTATTTCTGTTGCTGACAATGGAAAGCAAAAATACCTCGGCATTTAGAAAGTTAAAATGTGGAGGAACTCAGCTTGAGGGAGGTTGACTGATCCATATTGGGAGGGGTGATAAAAATTCTTTTGTTAGAGAGAACTCGAGTGTAAGGAGAAGGGGGTTCTAGAACAGTCAGTCAGGATTTTTTGGAAATGGATTCGTGGCCCAGCAAAATGGATTTCTGATAACTAAATTTGTATATCAATGCGTCACTGCAAAGCATGAGGGGCTTAAATTAACCAAGCATTCACTACTCCCTCTCCCCAAAACAATGAAAGCTTGGCAGGGAGGGGGAAGAATACAAAACGAAAGCAAGCATGTCTAAGTCTAACCATGATTTATGGTCGGGTCCTTTTACCCTTTTGGTTGCTTCTGCCATCAATTTATGCGGATTGCATTGCTTTACAAATTACAACAACACAATAGGAAAATCTTAAGAATTTGCAAAATTGGCAATCTAATTCGTGAGGTCATTTTTACAGACAAAAGCCTTCTCGGCCAATATAGTAAGAGGAAAAAAATGTTTTACTATATACCCAATAATAATGTCAAAATATTGTTGTGCAGCATACTGAAAAAGGACCACAGAAATTATACCCTCGTGTAGTCGTGTCTGTTTAATTTTGGCAACATTAATGAACCCTTGTTTGCTGTCTGGGTCTCGTAGCTGGCATGTTCATGCCGCTGAAATGAGTAGTATCTTATTGGTTGACGTTTTTATAGAGAAAAACTATCATTGTTTACTAATAAACCAAAAGGTGTAGTTTTTGTTTATTCCACATATTTCTCATTCTTTTACACAAACTGAGAAAATATTACATACCAGCTCATGTCTGAAGATGTGCAACATTTTTTTGCAATTAATAAAATAGTTTGTCTTATACCGGTATACACTTGTAAGAGAGGTGCCATACTATTATATTTAGCCAACTCAATTGAAAATTTGAATATATGAGACAATTCAACCAGTTAGTTCTGTAACTTATTTTCCCTAACTACATCCTATCATGAAAAAATCTTAAATCTACTAAATCACATCAAATGAATGTAAAGCAAGCTAATATCCATGTCAACATGTTGTATTAGTGAATTATTAGGCTTGTAATTTGCATTGATCCAGAAAAGAAGACCGTTGAATCAATTTTAATGTTTTTCCAGAGATATAAAATATATATTTTGTAGTACAAAGGGGCAACAAGGACTTGCGTGTAATTCACCTAAGCCTCTCACCGGCTAACTCTAGTGGGTTAGAGATACAAAGTATTAAACTATTGTTTATGTTGTTGGGTTCTTGATAGGATTGGACTGAAATGGATAGTGGATGAGACAAAAATGATATTCAACTCCAAAATGTAGGGCTTGATTAGTTAGGCTGCCATATTACTTACTGATTTTCAATTTTTGTGTTTTTTTTTTTTGAAGAAAAAGATCCATGACATTAATAAAGAACATAAAAGTCTACCATGCCAAAATGTCATGTTCTACAACAACTGGTGCTTGGGAAGACAATTCCTCGAGCCAAAACACGTCTCATCTCTCCTGTAGAGAAAACAAATTTAGCTAAACAATCTGCAACTAAAAGATCCATCAAATGACAGTTCTTTATTTAATGTATGAATTTTTCTATGGTATTTTCATCAAAAAGGGATTGACAATCTTGCATAGTGTCTGAAAGTATTTACAATCACTACCTATACCTTTTTCTCCATTCCACAGAGAGATCTTGACAGTCATTCTCAAAAGCATTTTGGTTGAGACACAAAAGTCCTGCAATTTTTGGTTGAAACCACTGAGGATCGAAATAAGTAGTTGTTGCCATTATCTTTTCCTCACGATTTCTAAAAACAACTTCCATACCATTATCCCACTTGAACAGAGGCCTCAAAGTTGGCTTTGATTATCCCATTAGATGGAGATCTCCATCCCTGCATTCCCTGTCCAACTCTTATTGTGTGATGTTGGGGAGTTTACCTGTGATAAAACCTGTTGCCTAGTTGTGTCCTTCCCCTCAAAATCCCAAGCATATTGATGTCTCTATATGACATACAGTAGCTCAAACATCCGAGCAATACTTTCCTTATCCTTCAATTTCAAAATCCTATTGGTCCAAACTGTAAAAGGTGACTCCTCATCTAACTCTACTCTAATGGCCATTGCTGATGCAAACCACAACCTCCTAACCTCGCCACAAATGAAAAGTGAATATATTTTAGATTGGTTGTGACGAACTAGTAGAGCAGACTAGCAGGCTCTCCACACTAGATGCTAACATCTTTGTGGAGGGTTAATTTTCCAAATCTTATTCCACAAGTTACCTGGGATTGCACTTGAGGAGGCATTTTGGGAAGCTAATCTAGATTCAGCTATTCGATACACTGTCTTAACTGTGTAGTACCTATCCTAACTTAGTTTCCAGAAAAACTTAACCTGAGATTGAAAATGGCGTAAAGGGATGCTAAGAATATGATTTCGGTTGCCTTGGTATAAAGCAAATTAATCAAGTGGATATCCCATTTCCTTGTACCAGTTAAAGTTACAATCAATTCTGAAACCAACATATCTCTATCCACAAACGAGTTTGGTTGTTCATGCAACTTATTTCAAGTTTAGTCTAGCACAACCCAACAATGTATACGTGGGAGGATAGAGGTGCAAATTAAATTTAAAATTTTTAATGTATAAATGAAGTCTACAAATTTTTAGGAAATTTAAATATTATTTGATACCTTGTTATATAAATTTAAATTAACGTATAAAATATTTTTATGATAATCCGTCAATTTAAATTAATGAGATACAGTATGAAATGATTTTAAATTTTCTTAAGAATTTGTAAACTTGATTTATGCATTAAGAACTTTAAATTCAATAGTTGAATTGTTAAAATTTGATGTAGAATATAAGTTATTGAGTAAAATAAGTCTAAGTAAGCTTACTCCTAGATAGATTTATTCCATTCAATAAATTATGTTTTATATCAAATTTTATTGGCCCAACCGTTAAATTTAAATTTTTTAATACATAGATCAAGTTTGCAAATTTTTAGAAAATTTAAAAATTATTTGATACTTTATTTCATTAATTCAAATTGACGGATAATCATAAAATGATTTTATACATTGATTTACTCCGTTCAATAACTTATGTTCTATATCAAATTTCAACAACTCAATCGTTGAATTTAAAGTTCTTAATGCATAGATCAAATCTGTAAATTTTTAAAAAATTTGAAAATCATTTGATATTTCATTTCATTAATTCAAATCAATGTATAAAGTGATTTTATGATTATCCATCAATTTGAATTAATGAAATGAAGTATCAAATGATTTTTAAATTTTTTAAAAATTTGCAAACTTGATCTATGCATTAAAAACTTTAAATTCAACAGTTCGATTGTTGAAATTTGATGTAGAACATGAGTTATTGAATAGAGTATGTCTAGGTAGACTTATTATAATTACACCAATGTAACTTTTACTAAGTATTACACCACTCAATAACTTTATATTAAATGTGAATTTTGTAAATCCAATTGTTAGATTGAAAGTTTATATATATAGAGGAAGGTTATAATAACATCAGTGTAACTTTTATTAAGTATTACACCGTTCAATAACTTTATATTAAATGTGAATTTTGTAAATCTAACCGTTAGATTTAAAGTTCATATCACTTTATATATTGATTTACAAAATTCACATTTAATATAAAGTTATTAAGCGGTGTAATATTTAATAAAAGTTACACCGGTATTATTATAACCCTCCTCTTTCTCTTTCTATACATACATACACACATACACACATATATATATATAGAGAGAGAGAGAGAGAGAAAGACTTGATAAATCTGGAATAAAATAGGGTTCATTAGTTTGTAAAAATCATCAACTCATAAAAAACTAACTACTTTTTTTTGGATAAGCAAAAAACATAATATTAAGAAAAGAGAGTACAAAGGGTACTCCAACCTATATACAAAGTTAAGACAACTGCTGAATACATATTAATGACTCATTTAACCAATTTATGTATACTAGTTATCTCTCATTCAGACCTGCTGTCAACCATTTTCATGACCTATATTTCATGACCTATATTTGATAGCATTTATAATCTCCTCAACATTTATTATACCATTGTTAAAGACAATGTTATTTCTATGTAACCAAATACTCCATACCACAGCTACCCAGATACTTACTAACTACTTTATACATCATTTTGATTTTCACAACATTTTAAAAGTTAAAGTTAAATTTTTCTTTAAAACTATTTAAATAAATGTCGAAAGAGTTAAATTGTTTAAGTAAAATTGAGACTTGTCATTTGTTATAATTTTTTTAAAATCCTGATGTAGCCTACATAAAAGTCTAACTTATAAGTGTGTATAAAATTTATGTTAATAATTTTAACGCTAAGATACAAATGATTACATGTATATGTATGTATAGTTTTATAAAATTTGAATATTATTTTATGATAAAAACATATTTAAGGGTATAATATGATATACATGACCCAATAAAAAAATTATTGTGTTAATATTTTTAAGTAGGACATAAGTTTTTATTTTTCAATAAAATTTTAATACTTCATTCGATTCTTGATCATTTTGAAAATTCTTAATTAGATACTTAAACTAAAAAAAAACTAATCTTATATATATATATATATATATAAGATTAGTTTTTTTTTAGTTTAAGTATCTAATTAAGAATTTTCAAAATGATCAAGAATCGAATGAAGTATTAAAATAG